AGGAGTCTATGGGTCTCCGTGTGAGGAGTCTATGGGTCTCTGTGTGAGGAGTCTATGGGTCTCTGTGTGAGGAGTCTATGGGTCTCTGTGTGAGGAGTCTATGGGTCTCTGTGTGAGGAGTCTATGGGTCTCCGTGTGAGGAGTCTATGGGTCTCTGTGTGAGGAGTCTATGGGTCTCTGTGTGAGGAGTCTATGGGTCTCCGTGTGAGGAGTCTATGGGTCTCTGTGTGAGGAGTCTATAGGTCTCTGTGTGAGGAGTCTATGGGTCTCCGTGTGAGGAGTCTATGGGTCTCTGTGTGAGGAGTCTATGGGTCTCTGTGTGAGGAGTCTATGGGTCTCCGTGTGAGGAGTCTATGGGTCTCTGTGTGAGGAGTCTATGGGTCTCTGTGTGAGGAGTCCTATGCGTCGTCGATGTAAGTCGTTGGTGGCCAGGCTGAGAGCACCAACTCTCACCACGCTTGAACCCGGCCGTCAATCGACGCGCCCTTGGGGCGACTCAAACCCAGCGTCCGAACTAGGCACTCCGAAACGACGGTCGGCTCCGCGGCCTCCGACGCGGCGATCTCGAGCCACGAGTCGCCGGTGGGCCCCGGCAAGAACCTCACTGGGTCGGTGCCGCAATTTTAATGACCCGTTAACAACGCCCCCCCCCCCCGCTATCTCGGAGATGCGGATATTGGATTTCTGCACGAGCGCAGAAGCACACGAACCCCGATCTCTCCCACTTCATCATAAAGGCGCCGCGGCCGTGACAACCGCGGAGCCGCGGGATTCGCTCGCCCGTTCGCCCGCTCGCTTGCGTTCGTTTCTGCCCTCGAAGGCTCGCTCGCTCGCTCGTTTACTCACGTGTGCCTCGTGTGTCACGTATGTCGCCGTGCGGTGGACGGCAACATACGTGACGCACGTGAATGCGTGACAACGGTGGGCAGGTGCGATGCTCGGGTTGGCGAGGTTTTTTGCGAGCGCCGTGTGTTTCGTTTTTTAAACGCGCTCGTGTTTTAATAGTGACAAAAGTGTGTGTGGTCTGTTTATAGGTTCTCGCTAACAGCACGTTCCCCAACAGTCTGTTAGAGGCTATACGGGGGATCTTTGTCTTTGGTGTGTTTGTTGGGGAGTGGTGGCTACGAACCTGGCTACTCGAGTAGCCAGGTTCCCGCTCACGGACAACACCAGAGACGATTATCTGAACCAGTCCCGGGCCTCCTCTAGGTCGACTCAGCCTCAAATGAGTCTCTGGTGCGGTGTGTAAACATCGCCACCGGGGAGACAAAGGCGGCCGGGAGTGGTGTTGGCCACCTACCCCCTCGCAATCATGCCCACGATACAGCCAGGTCTCAAATCTTGTTTCCGACAAAAAAAACAAGGGCACTCTTCCACTAACGAACATTCGATTTACGAACTTTCAGAGATACGAACAAACCTGCCCATATGTCCAGTTGCCTGTTCGGACCAAGAGTCGTAAGTTCAAGTGCCACGCAATAGATTTTGGTGATGGAAATTACACCTGCAGAACGTGAAGAACCAGTGGCATCTACACCTGCAGAACGTGAAGAACCAGTGGCATCTACATCTGCAGAATGTGAAGAACCAATGGCATCTACATCTGCATCTGCAGAACGTGAAGAACCGGTGGTATCTACATCAGCAGAACGTGAAGAACCAGTGGCATCTACATCTGCAGAACGTGAAGAACCAGTGGCATCTACATCTGCAGAACGTGAAGAACCAGTGGCATCTACATCTGCAGAACAAGAAGAACCAGTGGCATCTACGTCTGCAGAACGTGAAGAACCAGTGGCATCTATGTCTGCAGAACGTGAAGAATCAGTGGCATCTACATCTGCAGAACGTGAAGAACCAATGGCATTTACATCTGCAGAATGTGAAGAACCAGTGGCATCTACATCTGCAGAACATGAAGAACCAGTGGGATCTACATCTGCAGAACGTGAAGAACCAGTGGCATCTACAACTACAGAACCTGAGGAACTAGTGGCATCTACGTCTGCAGAATGTGAAGAACCAGTGACATCTAAGTCTGCAGAACGAACAAACCTGTCCATATGTCCAGTTGGCTGTTCGGACCAAGAGTCGTAATTTCAAGTGCCACGCATTAGATGTTGGCGATGGCATCTACACCTGCAGAACGTGAAGAACCAGTGGCATCTACATCTGCAGAATGTGAAGAACCAGTGGCATCTACATCTGCAGAACGTGAAGAACCAGTGGCATCTATGTCTGCAGAATGTGAAGAACCAGTGGCATCTACACTTGCAGAAGGTGAAGAACCAGTGGCATCTACATCTACAGAACGTGAAGAACCAGTGGCATCTACATCTATAGAACATGAAGGACCAGTGGCATCTACATCTGCAGAACGTGAATAACCAGTGGCATCTACATCTACAGAACGTGAAGAACCAGTGGCATCTACATCTGCAAAACGTGAAGAACCAGTGGCATCTACGTCTGCAGAACGTGAAGAACCAGTGGCATCTACGTCTGCAGAACGTGAAGAGCCAGTGGCATCTACACTTGCAGAACGTGAAGAACCAGTGGTATCTACATCAATAGAACATGAAGAACCAGTGGCATCTACATCTACAGAACGTGAAGAACCAGTGGCATCTACGTCTGTAGAACATGAAGAACCAGTGGCATCTACATCTGCAGAACGTGAAGAACCAGTGGCATCTACATCTGGAGAACGTGAAGAACCAGTGGCATCTACGTCTGCAGAACGTGAAGAACCAGTGGCATCTACGTCTGCAGACCATGAAGAACCAGTGGCATCTACATCTACAGAATGTGAAGAACCAGTGGCATCTACATCTGCAGAACGTGAAGAACCAGTGGCATCTACATCTGCAGAACGTGAAGAACCAGTGGCATCTACATCTGCAGAACGTGAAGAACCAGTGGCATCTAAATCTGCAGACCGTGAAGAACCAGTGGCATCTACATCTACAGAACGTGAAGAACCAGTGGCATCTACATCAGCAGAACAAGAAGAACCAGTGGCATCAACATCTACAGAACGTGAAGAACCAGTGGCATCTACGTCTGCAGAACATGAAGAACCAGTGGCATCTACATCTGCAGAACGTGAAGAACCAGTGGCATCTACATCTGGGGAACGTGAAGAACCAGTGGCATCTACGTCTGCAGAACGTGAAGAACCAGTGGCATCTACATCTGCAGACCATGAAGAACCAGTGGCATCTACATCTACAGAATGTGAAGAACCAGTGGCATCTACATCTGCAGAACGTGAAGAACCAGTGGCATCTACATCTGCAGAACGTGAAGAACCAGTGGCATCTACATCTGCAGAACACAAAGAGAACCAGTGGCATCTACATCTACAGAATGTGAAGAACCAGTGGCATCTACATCTACAGAACGTGAAGAACCAGTGGCATCTACGTCTGCAGAACGTGAAGAACCAGTAGCATCTACATCTGCAGACCGTGAAGAACCAGTGGCATCTACATCTACAGAACATGAAGAACCAGTGGCATCTACATCTGCAGAACGCGAAGAACCAGTGGCATCTACATCTGGAGAACGTGAAGAACCAGTGGCATCTACGTCTGCAGAACGTGAAGAACCAGTGGCATCTACGTCTGCAGACCATGGAGAACCAGTGGCATCTACATCTACAGAATGTGAAGAACCAGTGGCATCTACATCTGCAGAACGTGAAGAACCAGTGGCATCTACATCTGCAGAACGTGAAGAACCAGTGGCATCTACATCTGCAGAACGTGAAGAACCAGTGGCATCTACGTCTGCAGAACGTGAAGAACCAGTAGCATCTACATCTGCAGAACGTGAAGAACCAGTGGCATCTACATCTGCAGAACAAGAAGAACCAGTGGCATCTACACCTGTAAAACGTGAAGAACCAGTGGCATCTACATCTGCAGAACGTGAAGAACCAGTGGCATCTACATCTACAGAACATGAAGAACCAGTGGCATCTACATCTGCAGAACGTGAAGAACCAGTGGCATCTACATCTGCAGAACGTGAAGAACCAGTAGCATCTACATCTGCAGACCGTGAAGAACCAGTGGCATCTACATCTACAGAACGTGAAGAACCAGTGGCATCTACATCAGCAGAACGTGAAGAACCAGTAGCATCTACATCTGCAGACCGTGAAGAACCAGTGGCATCTACATCTGCAGAACGTGAATAACCAGTGGCATCTACATCTACAGAACATGAAGAACCAGTGACACCTGCATCAACAGGAGATTATGTAACCTTTAAAGCCATCCCCCGTGTTTAGTGTACATGCCGTACAACACGTTTGGAATCGACGGGAATAAAGTTTGGACTTAATGAACAAATCGACTTTTCTGAACATAGATGGACTCGTCCATCTGAACAACTGCCACATCACTGTCCGTGGTTCTAACGTGCTGTGGTTTTCACACCTGATGATGAATGCTTGTGTTGCAGTCGAAACGTCGTGATAATTTTATCGTTCTATATTTTTTGCATTTTATTGTTTCCCTTCTACGTGGTGACTTTACCGAAAGAACCAAGGATATGTCTATACATCTGTGAAATATCGGCCGCATTTCAAATTGCATCGTCATCATTATTATTTAAGGCCCTGTTATCTTAGCAGCGAGCGTGAGCCTGTCCTGCACTGCATTTCACTGCTGTCGCAACAAAGCGAAAATAAAAACTCCCAACGCCTTTCATCAATAACCACACGGCGTGGCCTTCAAAGGAAAACGAATATATAGCAGGCGACGGTTCGGGCAATGGGCCTTCCTCAGAGCGCCAGTTCACCACAAGTCACACCTGCACGGGATGTGAGCTCTCAAGCGGCCTATCGCATCGTGAAATTACAAACTGTACAAGCATCGTATTGCCATGGATCTTACTATAGTTGCGGTTCACCCCCCGCCACCGCCATCACTGCCGAGGGGGTCGAGAGGGTGGACGCGTGGTGGGGGGGGGGGGGGAAGGTTGACTCTTACCGGGTGACCGTCGCTGAACTCGCTGAACCACGTGCCCAGGGTCTCCCCAGGCCACGACGACATCTTCACCTGTGAAGCACATCAATCGGCATCCTTTGTTGTTGCTGTCGCTGCCATCGTCATCGCCGTCGTCTCCGCTGTCATCAACACCGGCGGTGAGTGCGGCGCCACCGTCGCCATCGACATCAACCGCCGTCATCGTCGCGGTCGTTGCGGCCGGCGTCGCCGCCGCCGGCAACTCGGGTGAGCGTGCGGCCGGCGACACGCCGGTGGTGGGAAGCTCAGCGTGCATTGAGAGCCGTCATCGTAATCACGACTCCGGTTGTCGCTGTCGTCAGCGAAATCATTGGCAGGGACCCTCGTGAAGGGGTCTTGAGACTCCGCAAGGCCCTCCCGGGGTAACACCCAGCATCGTCACCAATATTATTGTGTTATTTTATTTTATCAATTTATTATTTTATTCTCATTCTACGTGACTTTACCGAAAGAACCAAAGAAGAATAATATAATAATAATAATGACGTTTATACATGCGCTGTCAACCCATAAGGTTTACCCCGTATTCTTGTACAGGGACATTGAGTTTTCAGGTCGGTACCGTGCACAGAAAATTTAAACACGGTCAAAAACAAATGTTGTTGTCTACGTGTTTGCGTTTCTACCTTGTGATGGGACTTTGTAGGATGAACGTTGAGATTTGTAAGGGGCACGCGGTGGGGGGATCAATAAGGTCTGAATTGGTCTGTAATAAGGTAGGGCACCGATAAGGAGTTAACATATTTGGCAGACAAGTCAAATCTCGGGGCTGCTCGAAAGCCCTGACCCAGACAGAGGCCTTTTGATATTGCTTGAAGGTCGGAGTGCATTTGATGTTGCGGATGTGCAAAGGGTTCCACACCGAGGGGGTGACAGCAGAGAACCGACGTGAGGCTGTAACAGTGTAATGTAGTGTATAGTGTAGTGTATAGTAGTGTATAGTGTAGTGTATATTGTAGTTTATAGTGTAGTGTATAGTGTAGTGTATAGTGTAGTGTATAGTAGTGTAGTGTATAGTAGTGTAGTGTATAGTAGTGTAGTGTATAGTAGTGTAGTGTATAGTGTAGTGTATAGTGTAGTGTATAGTGTAGTATATAGTAGTGTAGTGTATAGTGTAGTGTATAGTGTAGTGTATAGTGGGGTAGTGTATAGTGGTGTAGTGTATAGTGTAGTGTATAGTGTAGTGTATAGTGTAGTGTATAGTGTAGTGTATAGTAGTGTAGTGCATTGAAGTGTAGTGTATACTATAGTGTATAGTGTAGTGTATAGTGTAGTGTATAGTAGTGTATAGTGTAGTGTATAGTGTAGTGTATAGTAGTGTATAATGTAGTGTATAGAAGTGTAGTGTATAGTGCATAGTAGTGTAGTGTATAGTAGTCTAGTGATAGTAGTGTGGTGTATAGTAGTGTAGTGTATAGTAGAGTAGTGTATAGTAGTGTAGTGTATAGTAGTGTAGTGTATAGTAGTATATAGTGTAGAATATAGCAGTATAGTGTAGTGTATAGTGTAGTGTATAGGAGTGTAGTGTATAGTAATGCATAGTGTAGTGTATTGAAGTGTAGTGTATAGTGCATATTAGTGTAGTGTATAGTAGTGTAGTGTATAGTAGAGTAGTGTATAGTAGTGTAGCGTATTGTGTAGTGTATAGTGTAGTGTATAGCAGTGTAGTGTATAGTAGTGTGGTGTATTAGTAGTGTGGTGTATAGTAGTGTAGTGTATGGTAGAGTAGTGTATAGTAGCGTGGTGTATAGTAGTGTAGTGTATAGTGTAGTGTATAGTAGAGTAGTGTGTAGCAGTGTATAGTATAGTGTATAGTGTAGTGTATAGTGTAGTGTATAGTGTAGTGTATAATAGTGTATAGTAGTGTAGTGTATAGTGTAGTGTATAGTAGTGTAGTGTATATTAGAGTAGTGTATCGTAGTGTAGTGTATAGTAGTGTATAGTAGTGTAGTGTATAGTAGTGTAGTGTATAGTAGTGTAGTGTATAGTGTAGTGTATCGTAGTGTAGTGTATAGTAGTGTATAGTAGTGTAGTGTATAGTGTAGTGTATAGTAGAATAGTGTATAGTAGTGTAGTGTATAATAGTGTATCGTAGTGTAGTGTATAGTAGTGTAGTGTATAGTGTAGTGTATAGTAGTGTAGTGTATAGTGTAGTGTATAGTAGTGTAGTGTAAAGTGACGTGAGGCTGTAACAGTTTGAGACCTTGGTGTCCAAAGCATCATCGTCATCACCACCGTCATCGTCACCGCCATCGTCGTCACAGCCATCGTCACTATCGTCGTCACCATCAACGTCATCACCATCGTCGGCACCACCGTCGCCACCACCGTCGTCAACATCATCGTCACCGCCATCATCCCCATCGTCATCACCATCGTCGTCATCATCATCATCACCATCATCGTCATCATCGTCGTCACCGCCATCGTCACCGTCACCGCCATCGTCGTAACAATGCCAGCGGCAGCACGTGAACGGAACCGATCCATCGGCAGGGGTGTGACGGTGAGACGGTGAGGTTGGGGGGGGGGGGGGGCGGCGGTGGCGAGGGGGGGGGGGGATTCCTCACCGAGGCCGTGCGCTCATCTGGCACGACGCAGGTCTCCCCGCCGCCGGTGAAGTTGCAGAAAACCTTGAAGGAGTCTCCCGAGCAGCCCTGGTTAGGGTCGATGTAGTAGTTTCCTGCGCGTGGGGGGCGGGGGACAAGTGGGGGGGGGGATGTGCGTGGAGCTTTTGCCATCGGTACAGGGGGGATCGAGCGTTGCCCCCCCCCCCTCGACCTCGCACGCGCGAGAGGGGGGGGGGGGGGCACGTGCTGGTTTACTCCTCCCGGCTGAGAACAAACTGGATCCGTGCGTGCCACCTCCGTGTGTTATGGACTGACCGGTGTTTCGAGGTCAAGGATCAAGTTATCGCGGGTGACACCACCGTTGAAACATTTGAAACATTATTACATTACGAATGTCTTAATGAGGTTTTTTTTTTTTGGGTTAGATCGCGTCAATATAAATGCGCCGTTAAACCCACCACCGCCCGACACAGCCAATAAGTAAGGTTTGTAACGTAAACACAACGTGCCGATTCAAATCTGTTCCTCAGATTGTAATTGTTGTGGATTTGCTCTGCAACACACAGCCGGTGTGTGCTGTAAGCGTAACGGATTGGCTACGTTCCGTTTACGTGACAAACCCCTTCCTAATAAGCTGTGTCAGGTGGTGGCGGGTTTAACGACACATTCATATCTACGCGATCTAACCCAAAAACACCAGGCATTATGGATGATATTGGTCGCGAAAGCCTACGTGTTAAATTATACATTTTCCGCATGCCTCTGATGGTGCCGGAGCCGCAACCGCCGGCGATAGTATTATCAATAAAGTATTAAAGGTTGAACACGAAATTTAACACTCTTCTGAAATTCGTGGTTCGCCAGGAAGTGTCCAACTGTGTTGTTGGCCTGACTGGATGTGCTTCACGTAATGTTTTTTCAGGTTTGTTGAATTCTCGTCTCTCATCTTTTTGTTGTATTTACCTGCCATGATTTGTTCTTGACACCTGATGAAAATCGCTCGCCTTGTGATCGAAACGTCGTGATTGTTTTTTTTGTTTTAATATAATTTTATTGTATTTCTACATACGTGACTTCACCGAAAAAACCAATGAGTGACAGTATTATTATTTCTATTTCATCCTGCCGACGGCGACATCTACGTCCGCTGTACGTTGCTCATTTCCCTTGCCAAATCCGGCGAACGCACCGTTGGGGAAGTCCGGGTGGCAGAGCTGCAGGTCCTTGCAGGTGCGCGCCGGGTTGCTCTGCGTGCCCAGCGGGTGCTTGATCTGCTCGATCTCGATCTTGAGCGAGTTGAGCGACGCGAAGATCTCCTCCATGCCGTCCTCGTAGTCCAGGTAGGCATCCGGATCCGGATCGGCCACCCGGTTCGCGCCGCCGGCAGCGGCGGCGGCGGCGGCGGCGCCGCGGCTCCGGCCGGCCGGCGCCTCGCCGTAATCGGGGAAGGGAAGCCGCTCCCCGTCCATGGGCAGGCTGGCGTCCACCGATCGGCGCGACCGGAGCTCGCCCATGAGCGGGAAGGGGTTGATGACGTCGCCGGGAGGTCCCTGGGGGAAGGACGGCCCGTGGGGTGTTGGTGGTGGTGGAGTGTATTTTATATAATTTTTTAGTAATTATATTTAATCTCATTGTATATATATATATTTTAGTGTCACGGATGCAAAGGAACGGGCTCACAGGGGCCCGACAGGCTCGAAGGCCCAAAGTCTAACACAGAGGCCGCCCGCCCCAAGGCCCCGAAGATCCGACGCTCTCAAAAAAACGCTCGCACGGTCCCAATGTGTCGGCACGGAATTGGCGCAACTCACGGGAGGGCCGGGAGCTCCTGGGGGGCCCAGTTCACCTTTGGGACCGGATGCCCCCTAGAATGAGCACACACACACGCACGCACACACAATGAATATTACACGCCACAATAAATATTACATGCCACACAAGCGAGAGAACACCGGCCAACCGTATAAAATGTCGGGTGTCCGACTTGCTGGGTGGACGATGGGGGTTACGGGCAGATGTGCGAGTAGGTCGGTTAAGTGTACACACCCCCTAATAAAATAAAGAGTTGGTATCCGTGGGAACTTTTTTTTCTTTGATAAACATGCCCTGAGCATATTTGCCATGTTTGCATGCAAACAAACATGCCCTGGACAATGCATATACTGCCAGAGAATTTTCTTTGTTTGCACGTCCACAAATGTGCGGTTAATGCACACATGATTCCTTTGCAAGAGGCTTCGGTTTGGTGTTTTAACATCTAAACACCGCCTGTTTTATTGCCAGACAGGGTGAAACCTCTTCTTATATTTTGATGCTGGCAAGGGAGGTCCCTTGATGTTGCTGCTCAACCCGAGCTCTCAATGTTCCTGATAGTGGCATTGCCTTTGTGCTGTTCGCCTTTTGGCGCTGTCCCCTGATCTGACACCGTTTGAGACGAGGCTCTGGTGTGGACCAATCAGTCTCAAAGACAATGCATCGTCATACACTACCAGAGCGTGGATTTTGTTTCGCATGTTCACCGCCAGTAGCGTGTGTGGTTAATGCAGTGCACGATTGCGAAAGATTTCTGTTCGGTGTCGTAACATCTCAACGCCGCCCGCTGTATCGCCAGACAGGGCAAAACCGATTCTTCAGCTCGCACTCGCCAATAACGCTCGTATCTTGGATGCCGCCTCCTGAGAAGCCACCGACCTGGCGCCAGTTAACAAAAAAAATTAGCCGAACGCCAGACCTCCCGACCGCGGAGAGGCGATGGGCCACGTTTGGTAGGTAAAAGATTTAAAAAAAAAAAAACGGCCCATGCATCACGCGTGGCTTCTGCAACGCCTCGCAATGGCCGCCCGTCAGTCCCTGGAAAGTAATTCATCAGCGGAACGTGAGCCCGACAGGAAGCTGTCGGGGCAAAATGGAACTAATTTGCACGTACGCGATTGTTATTTTTTTTTTCTTCCTCCTTTGATTCGAGTCTCCCGAGATTTGTCGGGAGGCTCGAATTCCGCCAGGGGCAAACGCGACTTCGCACGAGGGTCACATTCGCAATCGCGACGTTACCGTAATCGCTCCCCCCCCTCCCACTCCGCCCCACCGGACGGACGCACGGGCAGCCGGACGAACGTACGGACACACCCGACCAGATGGGGAAAAGCGGACAGACATGGGCAGATGGCATCGATGGATAGACAGAGAGACCGACGAAGCTAATGCCGTAACATTTGAGCTTTTTTTCCCCAACCGAAGATGCCTGCCGAAGCGTTAAAAAAGAGCAAAACCGTGGCAGCCAACTTGTTGACGTGAATATTGATGTCCCTGGGCTCCACCGCTATGAAATGTTAAAAAGCTCCATTAGCCAACAGAGGGCCTCGCGGTCACATCGCGTCTGTTCCCCCTCTGACGGGGACTCCTCTAAAGACTCCGGCCCGCGGCAGGAGCCGACGTCAGCCGTGAGCCCGTCGCGGCGGAAAGAGCCCACCCGGCTTCCTCCGTCCAGAAAAAAAAAGACGAAAAAACATTAAGGCCCATTAAGAATGACAAGGAGGCGCCACTTAACTGAAGCCATCACGCACACCCTCCTACCCTACCCCTCCCACCACCACCGCCGCCCGAAGAAGAAAAAAAACAACAACCCCACGATGGAACACGTCGGGAACGTCGTCGCTGACGTCTCGATTAACGACACGGGACCCCGTGCACGCGCTCACGAGCGTCAAAAACTACATTAAAAATATCAATTGGCACGGGCGACCGCCTTGCATGTCCCGTAACGACGTAGGACTCAACGAGAGAGCTTGGTGGGGGGAGTGGGGGGGGGCAGTGTAGCTGCTACACGTGTAGCTGCTACACGTGTAGCTGCTACACGTGTAGTAGCTACTACACGTGTAGTAGCTACTACACGTGTAGTAGCTACTACACGTGTAGTAGCTACTACACGTGTAGTAGCTACTACACGTGTAGTAGCTACTACACGTGTATGGGGTCTCTATGTGAGTCTATGGGTTCTCTATCGAGTCTATGGGTCTCTGTTGTGAGTCTATGGGGTCTCTATGTTAGCCATTGGGGTTTCCATGTTAGTCATTGGGGTTTCTATGCGAGTCTATCGGTCTCTGTTGTGAGTCTATGGGGTCTCTATGTGAGTTTATGGGTTTCTATGTGAGTCTATGGGGTCTCTATGTGAGACTCTGTTGCGAGTCTATGGCTCTCTATGTGAGTCTATGGGGTTTCTATGTGGGTCTATGGGTTTCTGTTGTGAGTCTATGGGGGTCTCCATGTGAGTCTATGGGTCTCTGTTGCGAGTCTATGGGGTCTTTATGTGAGTCTATGGGGTCTCCATGTGAGTCTATGGGGTCTCTATGTTAGTCTATGGGTCTCTGTTGCGAGTCTATGGGTCTCTATGTGTGTCTATGGGGTCTCCATGTGAGTCTATGGGGTCTCTATGTGAGTCTATGGGTCTCTGTTGCGAGTCTATGGGTCTCTGTTGTGAGTCTATGGGGTCTCTATGTTAGCCATTGGGGTTTCCATGTTAGTCATTGGGGTTTCTATGCGAGTCTATCGGTCTCTGTTGTGAGTCTATGGGGTCTCTATGTGAGTCTATGGGTTTCTATGTGAGTCTATGGGGTCTCTATGTGAGACTCTGTTGCGAGTCTATGGGTATCTATGTGAGTCTATGGGGTTTCTATGTGGGTCTATGGGTTTCTGTTGTGAGTCTATGGGGGTCTCCATGTGAGTCTATGGGTCTCTGTTGCGAGTCTATGGGGTCTTTATGTGAGTCTATGGGGGTCTCCATGTGAGTCTATGGGGTCTCTATGTGAGTCTATGGGTCTCTGTTGCGAGTCTATGGGGTCTCTATGTGAGTCAATGGGTCTCTGTTGCGAGTCTATGGGTCTCTATGTGAGTCTATGGGGGTCTCCATGTGAGTCTATGGGGTCTCTATGTGAGTCTATGGGTCTCTGTTGCGAGTCTATGGGTCTCTATGTGAGTCTATGGGGGTCTCCATGTGAGTCTATGGGGTCTCTATGTGAGTCTATGGGGGTCTCCATGTGAGTCTATGGGGTCTCTATGTGAGTCTATGGGTCTCTACGTGAGTCTATGTGGGTCTCCATGTGAGTCTATGGGTCTCTGTTGCGAGTCTATGGGTCTCTATGTGAGTCTATGGGGTCTCCATGTGAGGCTATGGGTCTCTGTTGCGAGTCTATGGGGTCTCTATGTGAGTCTATGGGGGTCTCCATGTGAGTCTATGGGGGTCTCTATGTGAGTCTATGGGGGTCTCCATGTGAGTCTATGTGGGTCTCCATGTGAGTCTATGGGTCTCTGTTGCAACTTGTTGCACCAGAGAATCCCGGCCGATCTCGGCAATGCCGGCTGGGCGACGGAACTGGGAACGCCATCCCTTCAAATTCCAGCACCGAGGGAGGGTGAGTGAGTAGGGGAGAGTGGGGGGGGGGGGGGTCAGGAGGGGAGGGGGGGGGGTCAGGAGGGAGGGGGGGGGGGGCCCTTTGTTAGGGTCGTCGCCACGATCGTCATTAGCGAGCTCGTACCGTTGAACCCTTTGCACCCTTTGGTCCTGGCGGGCCCTGCAAGCACACGGACACACACACACAAAGACAGAGGTGAAGACACGAACCGTTCCCCCCCCCCACCGTGTAGCCTTGACAACAGACCGTCCGTAGGGCAAGCGCTGTCAAGCGAGCGGGCCCTGACGGTGCACCGCGACCACGGGCGGCTTTTTACCTCCCAACAGGGGGGGGGGGGGGGGGGGGGGTTGCTCGTTAACCCCGGTGCAGTTCGAGCGGCAGCGTCGGACGCGAATCGCCGCGGCCTACCGCTCCCCCCTGCCGCCACACCCCCCGCGACGATGACGGACGCGCGAGGCCGTGCCGGCAAGCACGCGCGCACGCGCGCACGCGCGCGGCAAACATCACCATAAATAAAACAGCTCTATTAAACATTTACGCGCACGCAGACGGGCGGAGTGGTGGATGCTGCGGCGGAGGGTGGTGGTGGTGGTGGGCGGGCGGGCGGGTATGGCGACGGAGCGAGTGAGCGCGCGGCGCGGGGGAGAGCGATAAAAAAATAAAGCGAAGACCGCGAGCGGAGAACTCGCGGGCCCGAAGCGCCTCGTCGACGCTCGCCAATTTGATTGGCGAATTGAGGCCGCCGATGGCTTCCCGCGGGGGTGTCGTCGGGATGGGTCAGCGTAGAGCCCGCGCGTTTGTCGAATTAACTTTTTTTTTGCCGTGGTCAATTTTTATCTTTAAAAAAAAATATATATATATATATTTTTTTTTTTACATATTCATCTGTATCACAGCGCCAACTCGAGCCGGTGCCGGAAAAAAGATTTTCGCTCCGCGCACGCTCCAGGAACGCCGGCCGCGGTCGCGATTTCTTTGGCGGAGAGACCAAGAAAATTCGAATGAACGCACCGCATGTTAACGCCGTCACACGCCGACTCAACGCGGGCGCCCAAAGATTTTTGCCTCTCCGGCGACGTCGTCGCCGCCGCGGGTTCTTTTAAATTATTATTCTAAATCATCATTATTATTATTATTGTGTGGACATCTGCAAGCCCTTTTCGTCTGCGGCGGCACTCCATTGACAGCGTCCACGGTCACGATTTGGGGGAGAAAGAAGACGAAGAAGGAGAAGAAAAAACGGCGACCTGAACGACACGCACGGCGAAGTGCGGAGAAGCGAGGAGGGACGCACGCTCGGAATCGCAATGAGAGGCTGGAGAGGGCGAGAGGAGAGCGCGAGAGAGGGAGAGAGACAGGGAGAGATACAGAAAAGGAGAGAGAGTAGGGAGAGAGAGAAAGGGAAAGAGGGGAACATGTGGATGGGGGGGCGGGGGCACATGCAGTTTGGTAACGAGGTTCACATAGGAGAAAAGTGAGCTGGGGCTTGGGAAGGACTCGGAGTGGGTGGCTGGGTCAGTGGGGGGCTTGGGAAGGACTCGGATTGGGTGGCTGAGTCAGTGGGGGGTTTGGGAAGGACTCGGATTGGGTGGCTGGGTCAGTGGGGGGCTTGGGAAGGACTCGGAGTGGGTGGCTGGGTCAGTGGGGGGCTTGGGAAGAACTCCGATTGGGTGGCTGGGTCAGTGGGGGGCTTGGGAAGGACTCGGAGTGGGTGGCTGGGTCAGTGGGGGACTTGGGAAGGACTCGGAGTGGGTGGCTGGGTCAGTGGGGGACTTGGGAAAGACTCGGATTGGGTGGCTGGGTCAGTGGGGGGCTTGGGAAGGACTCGGATTGGGTGGCTGGGTCAGTGGGGGGCTTGGGAAGGACTCGGATTGGGTGGCTGGGTCAGTGGGGGACTTGGGAAGGACTCGGATTGGGTGGCTGGGTCAGTGGGGGGCTTGGGAAGGACTCGGAGTGGGTGGCTGGGTCAGTGGGGGACTTGGGAAGGACTCGGATTGGGTGGCTGGGTCAGTGGGGGGCTTGGGAAGGACTCGGATTGGGTGGCTGGGTCAGTGGGGGGCTTGGGAAGGACTCGGATTGGGTGGCTGAGTCAGTGGGGGGTTTGGGAAGGACTCGGATTGGGTGGCTGGGTCAGTGGGGGGCTTGGGAAGGACTCGGAGTGGGTGGCTGGGTCAGTGGGGGACTTGGGAAGGACTCGGATTGGGTGGCTGGGTCAGTGGGGGGCTTGGGAAGGACTCGGATTGGGTGGCTGGGTCAGTGGGGGGCTTGGGAAGGACTCGGATTGGATGGCTGAGTCAGTGGGGGGCTTGGGAAGGACTCGGATTGGGTGGCTGGGTCAGTGGGGGGCTTGGGAAGGACTCGGATTGGATGGCTGGGTCAGTGGGGGGCTTGGGAAGGACTCGGAGTGGGTGGCTGGGTCAGTGGGGGGCTTGGGAACGACTCGGATTGGATGGCTGGGTCAGTGGGGGGCTTGGGAACGACTCGGACTGGATGGCTGGGTCAGTGGGGGGCTTGGGAAGGACTTGGAGTGGGTGGGTCGGAAAAGCAAAGTTTGTGGGGACTAATAGCTATTTTATGTACTTCTGAGGCATAAGCAATTGGAAAATAACACTTACTACCCAGGGACAAAAATGGTGTTACATAGTGAATTATCAATTCATCCTTACGATCAGCCACGCGTGTGCGTCGCAGGCAAAAACTACGGAGAGGGGGGGGGCGGACCCCCCCCCCTCACCCCCACAAGGCCGGACGCGGGGCTCAGCTCTGGCCTTGGTGGAGACGCGGGGAGAGGGATGGGAGAGTAGGAGAGAGTGGAAGAAAGTGGGAGAGATGGGGGGGGGGTGGGAGAGAGGGGGGGGGGGGGGAGAGTGGGAGAGAGGGGGGGAGAGGGGGGGAGAGTGGGAGAGAGGGGAGAGAGAGGGGGAGACGCGGAGAGATGGGGGGGGGGGGGAGTGGGAGAGAGGGGGGAGACGCGGAGAGATGGGGGGGGGGAGGAAGAGTGGGAGAAAGTGGAAGAGAGTGGGAGAGAGGGGGGAGAGAGTGGGAGAGAGGGAGAGTGGGAGAGAGGGGGGGAAGAGTGGGAGATAGGGGGGGTGGAAGAGAGGGGGGGAGAGTGGGAGAGAGGGGGGGGAGAGAGGGGGGGGAGAGAGTGGGAGAGGAGGGGGGGTGGGAGAGAGGGGGGGAGAGAGTGGGAGAGAGGGGGGGTGGGAGAGAGGGGGGGAAGAGTGGGAGAGATGGGGGGAGAGTGGGAGAGAGTGGTAGATAGATGGGGGGAGAGTTTGAGATAGGGGGGTGAGAGTGGGAGAGAAGGGGGGGGGGGGAGTGGGAGAGAGAGGGAGAGAGAGGGGGGGAGAGAGGGGGGGGGAGAGAGTGGGAGAGAGGGGGGTGAAAGAGAGGGGGGGAGAGTGGGAGAGAGGGGGGGAGTGGGAGAGAGTGTGAGAGAGGGGGGGGGAGAGTGGGAGAGAGAAGGGGGGGGAGAGGGGGAGACGCGGAGAGAGGGGGGAGATGGTGGGAGAGAGGGGGGGGAGTGGGAGAGAGGGGGAGAAAGGGGGGGAGAGAGTGGGAGAGAGGGGGGGTGGAAGAAAAAGGGGGGGAGTGGGAGAGAGGGGGGGGAGAGAGGGAGACGCAGAGAGAGGGGGGGAGAGAGTGGGAGAGGGGGGGGAGTGGGAGAGAGGGGGGAGAAAGGGGGAGACGCGGAGAGAGGGGGGAGAGAGTGGAAGAGAGGGGGGGGAGAGTGGGAGAGAGTGGGAGAGAGGGGGGTGGAAGAGAGGGGGGGGGGAGAGTGGGAGAGAGAAGGGGGGGGAGAGAGGGAGAGAGGGGGGGGAGAGTGGGAGAGAGTGGGAGAGAGGGGGGTGGAAGAGAGGGGGGGGAGAGTGGGAGAGAGAAGGGGGGGGGGAGAGGGAGACGCGGAGAGAGGGGGGGAGAGAGTGGGAGAGAGGGGGGGGAGTGGGAGATAGGGGGGAAGAGTGGGAGAGAAGGGGGGGGGAGTGGGAGTGCGAGGGAGAGAGTGGGGGATAGTGGGAGAGAGTGGGAGACAGGGGGGGGGAAAGAGTTGGAGAGAAGGGGGGAGAGAGTGGGAGAGAGAGTGGGGGGTGGGAGAGAGGGGGGGGGGGGAGACGCGGAGAGAGGGGGGGAAGAGTGTGAGAGAGTGGGAGAGGGGGGGGCCGCAAGAGCTGACTAATTGGTGTAGGGAAAACGTCGTGGCCATGAAACATGAATGAGACGGGGGATGGGGGGAGAGAGGGAGGGATGGAGGGGGGGGCGCATCCAATTAAACTGCCCGCAGGATCCATCTGAACGCAGGGGGGGGGGGGAGGGGGTGACATGGGGGGGGTGGAGGGTAAAATGAATATTCAGTGTAGCAGGGCAGGTGAATGTATAATTCACGTCCCTGTGATGCGCAGATCGTGAGTTCTGCTGTGGGAACCTCTCCAAGAGAGCCGTGACTTTTTATATCTTGCGGAGGGGGCGAGGCAAAGGCGCAGCCCTGCAAACGCTCGCTCGCACCACCGCTGGAGGTAGAGCCTGGAGGGTGATTGGCCCACTCGTCCACACTGACCCAATCGTGCGAGAGAAGAGGCCGCGTGTGGGCGTGGGTGGGTTACCCACACTTTACCCCACCGCGCCAGCCGGGGGGGGGGGGGGGGGGTGGGGGGTCGCCCGCACACAGGGGGACACTCAGGGGGACACTCAGGGGGTCAAGACGGAGACACGGGGATCCAGGGGCCGTGGTGCAGGGGACGCACGCGCGCTCGATGCGACTCAAATATGGGGAAGCGGAGAGTTAAAAGGAGAAGAGAAGGGGATTTCTTTTTTTTTATTTACGTTGTTGTTAACTTTTTAAAAGTACGTTGTGACTTTCTTTCAATTAACGTTGTTGTTACTTTTTTATTTACATTGTTGTTACTTTTTTTAATTAACGTTGCAAAAAAAAGAAATTCTATTTGAGTTGTCAATCTTTTCATTCACGTTGCTGTTAGTTTTTTTAACCTCACGTCGTTACTTGTTTTCGCTCGTAATGATGTCAGTGGGAGGCATTCGCGTTTTACCTCCGTGGCCCTGCGACGTCAATTATTCACCGTGAAGAGGCGCCCATAACGCGGGCTTATTTTCGGGTCGCAACGCGTAAATATACAAATTTTCTTGCTGTGGTTTTCACGCCTGATGATGATTGCTTGTGTTGCAGTCGAAACGTCGTGAGAATTTTATTGTTTTATATTTTTATTATATTATTTGTTTCCATTCTACGTGACTTAACCGAAAGAATAAATAATATGAATCCCTGCAGTCACGAAAGCTTTAAATCAAAATTTAAATGCTGCGTCGTTCAAGTGGGAAGCTGAGTGTGGGACACGGGTGAAAAAAATATAAAAATGTACTCCTAATAATCAAGATTGATTTATCCGTTGTCCTTCCCCCCCCCCCCCACGCCATCCACCAACCGCACCTCCGATTCAGCGCGGCTGCCCACGTACGGTGCGAAGAAAGTTCAGCGCTCGTGCGCCTGTCGCTCGGCCAACCGTCCGTCGCCCGTCGCTCGGCTAGTCGGCCTCGCCCCCCTGAGCGGGCGACGCGGGGAGGTGGCGACGGCTGGGGACTGGCATGGGTGAGGTAGCTGGACCGCCGACGGGGTGAATAGCAGGCGAGGCGGACGACGACGAGAAAAGCAGCGAGGGTCAGGAGAGTTTGATGCGATGTCAAGTGGCGGATGGTCATGTGAGTGGTGCGACCGGTGAGCGGTTATATCAGCAAGTTGGTAACCGGTGGAGGGCGAGCGTCTGGTGAGGACCGGGGTGAGTTTGTCCCGCGATGCGAGGCGGTCACGTCGCCCCGTCTGTAGGACGGCAGCAGTGGCTGTGTGCCGCCGTGAGGAGGCACGCCTTGGCACGAGTTACCGTGACCCCCTGCCACCCTTCCCACCCATCCCTCCTCCACCCCTCCCCGTTACGGACGCACGGACGACAACGCTTTCAACTTTGGCCTGGAAGGCGTGCAAGCATGAGCAGCAAAAAAAAATCTCATCAAATCGGTTTCAATTCACGGAGCCTCGGAATCAAGGAACACGTGTCGATGCGGGCTTAGCAAAATCAGGGGGCGCTAAGCAATCCGCCGATGGGGCTGATTCGCGCTGCCAAATTACCAGTCGCCAGCTCGCCGGATTGGCGACGGCCCTGTGCCAGCTCCTACCCCAGCAAAGCCAGGGCACCCCAAGGGGAGGGTGGTCGTTTCACGCACCATCCGCGCGTGATCTGCCAACCCTCGCTGCTGCTGGCTTTGTCGGCAGCCGTGCGGCGGCGGCGGCAGGCATGGCCACCGCCGTCGCCGCCCGGCCGAGAATAATTCCCGATGCGGAGTTCTGCTCGATACCGCCCGAGATTGAGCGCCGCGCGTAATGTTGGCTCGAGCGTCGAGGTCCTTGAGAACGTTTTAAAAAAAAAAAAAACGGCTCGTCATTGTAACAACCGGCAAAGAAAATGTAAATCAGATTGCGACGAGCCTATGAACCGAAGGCTGGCATCACCTACACCACCGCACCCGGCCCCCCCCAAACCACACTGCTACTTGAAAGCAGCGGTCAGTTTTCTTTATTGTTGCTTGCCCGGTAATACTAATCTCAAAATGCTTGGGCCTCGAGAATATCTTGGGCCGAGAGTATTTGGGCATTCGCGGGCCACGTCGGCCGTCTGGCACGCGCGGCTCGGAAGCGACGGGGGGGCGGGCGAGCCGGGAATCCTCCAGCCAGCGGTGGATAGAACACGGCTGACGTTGATCGCGGCGATGGCGGCGGTGGTGACTTGCGATGGGATCTTACCGGAAGTCCTGGAGGTCCACCCGGGCCTACTGGTCCTGATGGTCCGGAAAATCCCTGAAATCGGAGGGGATGAGAACAAGAGGGAGGAGGGAGAGGGAGGGGAGGGAGGAAGAGGAGGTTAGGATGAGGAAGAGCAGCAGGGGAGCGAGGATTAAGGAGGTCGGTCGGGACGATGAGCAAGTGAACAAGGAGGTTGGGGTTCAGAGCAGGTGGAGGAGTGAAGAGAGACCAGGAAGAGGGGAGTGAAGAGTGAGTAGGGTGAGGTGCAAGGAGGAGGGGTGGGAGCAGGAGGAGGTTAGGGTTATGGATGGGAGGAGGAGGAGGTCGAGGAGGAGGGAGGATGAGGAGGGAGCAGGAGGAGGGGAGGAGATGATGGAGGAGGTTGGAGGTAGTTAGGGTTGAGGGGGAGAGGGCGAGGGTTAACACGCAATAATCACTGCGCTCGATCGCCGCACGCGTTAATCCCACGCTCTCTCTCCCTGTATCAGGGGACAGAGAGAGAGGGAGAGAGAGAGCGGCGTAGACACACGCGGGGTCACGCGGGGTCACGCGCGCTCCCCCCTCGTAGACCACGCGTAGCCGTGGTGCAGGGAGACCCACAGGGGGTCACACAGGGGGGGGGGGCAGAGGGGTTACAGGGGGACTAATAGGGGGACTCACAGGGGGACACACGGCGGGGGGCAGAGGGGGTACAAGGGGACTCACAGGGGGACTCACAGGGAGACACGGGGGGGGGGCAGAGGGGTTACAGGGGGACTAACAGGGGAACTCAGAGGGAGACACGGGGGGGGGCAGAGGGGGTACAAGGGGACTCACAGGGGGACTCAGAGGGAGACACGGGGGGGCAGAGGGGGTACAAGAGGACTCACAGGGGGACTCAGAGTGAGACACGGGGGGGCAGAGGGGGTACAAGGGGACTCACAGGGGGACACCCACGGGGTAAAGAGGGACACACAGAGGGGGTACAGGGGCTGTGGTGCAGGGGAACACACAGAGGGGTACTCACAACGTCTCCCTTGGGCCCCGGGAGACCCCCGATACCGGGCTCTCCGCGATCCCCTTTATCCCCTTGATCTCCCGGGGGGCCGATGAGCCCGATGAGCCCAGGGTGGCCCTGAGAACGACAGAATCGTGGTGGAGGTTGCCGGGCGAGCGGGGCCACAACACGCCAAGCAGCACCGGCAGGTTCGAGTCGCGCAACGGTAGTCTATGTGTCTCTGTGTTGAGTCTATGTGTCTCTGTGTTGAGTATATGGGTCTCTGTGTTGAGTCTGTGGGTCTCTGTGTTGAGTCTGTGGGTCTCTGTGTTGAGTCTATGGGTCTCTGTGTTGAGTCTATAGGTCTCTGTGTGAGTCTATGGATCTCTGTGTTGAGTCTATGGGTCTCTGTGTTGAGTCTATGGGTCTCTGTGTTGAGTCTCTGTGATGAGTCTATGGATCTCCGTGTTGAGTCTATGGATCTCTGTGTTGAGTCTGTGGGTCTCTGTGTTGGGTCTATGGGTCTCTGTGTGAGTCTATGGATCTCTGTGTTGAGTCTATGGGTCTCTGTGTTGAGTCTATGGATCTCCGTGTTGAGTATATGGGTCTCTGTGTTGAGTCTATGGATCTCTGTGTTGAGTCTATGGATCTCTATGTGAGTCTATGGGTCTCAGTGTGAGTCTCTGTTTGAGTCTATGGGTCTCTGTGTTAGTCTATGGGTCTCTGTGTGAGTCTATTGGTCTCCGTGTGAGTCTCTTTGTGAGTCTATGGGTCTCTGTGTTGAGTCTATAGATCTCTTTGTTGAGTCTATGGATCTCTGTGTTGAGTCTATGGATTTCTGTGTTGAGTCTATGGGTCTCTGTGTGAGTCTATGGGTCTCTTTGTGAGTCTATGGGTCTCTGTGTGATGCTCTGTGTGAGTCTATGGGTCTCTGTGTTGAGTCTATGTGTGAGTCTATGGGTCTCTGTATTGAGTCGATGGGTCTCTGTGTGAGTCTATGTGGCTCTGTGTGAGTCTCTGTGTGAGTCTATGGGTCTCTGTGTGAGTCTATGAGTGTCTGTGTTAGTCTATGGGTCTATGTATGAGTCTCTGTGTGAATCTATGGGTCTCTGTGTGAGTCTATGGGTATCTGTGTGAGTCTATGGGTCTCTATGTTGAGTCTATGGGTCTCTGTGTGAGTCTATGGGCCTCTGTGTGAATCTCTGTGTGAGTCTATGGGTCTCTGTGTGAGTTTATGGGTCTATGTGTGAGTCTTTGTGTGAGTCTATGGGTCTCTGTGTGAGACTATGGGTATCTGCGTGAGTCTATGGGCCTCTGTGTTGAGTCTATGGATCTCTGTCTGAGTCTCTGTGTGAGTCTATGGGTCTTTTTGTTGAGTCGATGGGTCTCTGTGTGAGTCTATGGGCCTCTGTGTGAGTCTCTGTGTGAGTCTATGGGTCTCTGTTTGAGTCTATGAGTCTCTGTGTGAGTCTATGGGTCTATGTGTGAGTCTTTGTGTGAGTCTATGGGTCTCTGTGTGAGACTATGGGTATCTCTGTGAGTCTATGGGTCTATGTGTGAGTCTTTGTGTGAGTCTATGGGTCTCTGTGAGACTATGGGTATCTGTGTGAGTCTATGGGTCTATGTGTGAGTCTTTTTGTGAGTCTATGGGTCTCTGTGTGAGGCTATGAGTCTCTGTGTTAGTCTATGGGTCTATGTATGAGTCTCTGTGTGAATCTATGGGTCTCTGTGTGAGAATATGGGTATCTGTGTGAGTCTATGGGTCTCTATGTTGAGTCTATGGGTCTCTGTGTGAGTCTATGGGCCTCTGTGTGAGTCTCTGTGTGAGTCTATGGATCTCTGTGTGAGTCTATGAGTCTCTGTGTGAGTCTATGGGTCTATGTGTGAGTCTTTGTGTGAGTCTATGGGTCTCTGTGTGAGACTATGGGTATCTGCGTGAGTCTATGGGCCTCTGTGTTGAGTCTATGGATCTCTGTCTGAGTCTCTGTGTGAGTCTATGGGTCTTTTTGTTGAGTCGATGGGTCTCTGTGTGAGTCTATGAGTCTCTGTGTGAGTCTATGGGTCTCTGTGTTGAGTCTATGGGTATCTCTGTTGAGTCTATGGGTCTCTGTCTTGAGTCTATGGGTTCTCTGTGTGAGTCTATGGGTCTCTGTGTTGAGTCTATGGATCTCTGTCTGAGTCTCTGTGTGAGTCTATGGATCTCTGTGTGAGTTTATGAGTCTCTGTGTGAGTCTATGGGTCTATGTGTGAGTCTTTGTGTGAGTCTATGGGTCTCTGTGTGAGACTATGGGTATCTGTGTGAGTCTATGGGCCTCTGTGTTGAGTCTATGGATCTCTGTCTGAGTCTCTGTGTGAGTCTATGGGCCTCTGTGTGAGTCTCTGTGTGAGTCTATGGATCTCTGTCTGAGTCTCTGTGTGAGTCTATGGATCTCTGTGTGAGTTTATGAGTCTCTGTGTGAGTCTATGGGTCTATGTGTGAGTCTTTGTGTGAGTCTATGGGTCTCTGTGTGAGACTATGGGTATCTGTGTGAGTCTATGGGCCTCTGTGTTGAGTCTATGGATCTCTGTCTGAGTCTCTGTGTGAGTCTATGGGCCTCTGTGTGAGTCTCTGTGTGAGTCTATGGATCTCTGTCTGAGTCTCTGTGTGAGTCTATGGATCTCCGTGCTCGTCGGATGTGCGAGGTGAGCGCGGGCGAGTGGCTGGATACGAATCGGCGAGTGCGGGATCGTCAGATTCCCCCCCCCCTCCCCATCTAATTCTCGAAAACTCACCACGGTATAGACTCTCGATTATCCGCGCTAATGGCGGGGAAGGATGGTCGCGGATAATTCAAACATCGTGGATAATCCCCCACGTCGCTGCCCCTCCCTCCCTCCCTCCCTCCCTCCCTCCCTCCCTCCCTCCCTCCCTCCCTCCCTCCCTCCCTCCCTCCCTCCCTCCCTCCCTCCCTCCCTCCCTCCCTCCCTCCCTCCCTCCCTCCCTCCCTCCCTCCCTCCCTCCCCTCCCTCTCCTCCGTCTGTCACTGTAATCCCGAGTGTGCGCGCTCGTTCACGCGTCTTTGCGCACTTTAACGCCTCGAGTTTTACCCACATCGCCCCCGGAACGTGACGAGGCCCGGACCCCGTGGGCAGCCCTCGCCTGTACCCCATGGGCAACCCTCACCCGGATCCCCGTGGGCAAACCCTCACCCGGACCCGGGAGGGGGCTCGCGCGAATATGACGCGGAAGGGAAGTAGGGGGGGGGGGGGAAAAAGTGAAATTCTGCATTTGGAATGGAAATCTCAAAAAAATATATATATACATAAGGAATTGTATAACATTACCCAGCGGCCCATTTGAATGGCGCACCCACAAACCCCGTCGTTGCGCTGCGACTGAACGCCAACGGTCGCGTCGCGACACTCCGCTCATTGGGTTTTCCTTCGTGTGTCCAATAGTCCTCCACCTCCTCCGCCGCGGTGTTTGTAAAAAGGCAGCTTTTGGTGTATTGGTGGGGTGGGGGATGCTGGCACGGGGGTGGCGGTGGAACAGGACGGCTCGCCGGGCCTGCGATCCAGAGTTCGTCGGTTGGATCTCCAGTTGCGCCATGGTGGCTAGGAGACGTTAACTACCTCGCCTGGTGTACAGGAGGTCGTGGGTTCAACCCAGACGCTGACGCCACGGTGGCTAGGAGATGTTAACTTCCTCGCCTGGTATACAGGAGGTCGTGGGTTCAACCCAGACCCTGACGCCATGGTGGCTATGAGATGTTAACTACCTCGCCTGGTACACAGGAGGTCGTGGGTTCAACCCAGACCCTGACGCCACGGTGGCTAGGAGATGTTAACTACCTCGCCTGGTACACAGGAGGTCGTGGGTTCAAAACCGACCCTGACGCCTGCTGCTGTATATCTGGAGTGTGGATTTTTCTCCGGGTCCTCCGATTTTTCCCTCCACAATTAGAATCAACATCACGCATTTGGAGTGTTTGACTGCTACACATTTCCACCTGATGATGATCAGCCGCTTCGTTTGGCTATAATTCGTGATTGCCAGATGGTACCCCTCTGACAAAACAGCGACACAGTTCAGTGGGGCCATACCTGGTCAAATAATAAGTAATATATATAAAAAAACCACGCTTTAATGAAATGTACCATACAAATAATGGAAGAACTCCACGACTCCAGGAAGTGGCCTCTAAGCTTGCCACAACGTAATGGGCCGTGGTGAATTACAGCCAACGTCAGTTGACCGTGGACAAGCCGAAAATAACATAAACAAATATAATGTTTTAAAATATGTTTATTTTTTATTTTTTAATGATAGAATATAGTATTGTCATCAGTATGACATAACTATACCAAGTTTGAAGCCGATACCACATTGGGAAGTGGGTTAAAATTGAGTTGCAAGATTTGAGGATACAATAGTCAGTGAGTTAAATAAAAGCGTGTAATAAAAACAAGTAGTTTAGTTTCCCTGCGAAGCAGCTGAAACAATGAAGGTACATTTTAAAAATCTCTCCCCCCATCCACCCCTCCCACCTACTAACAACAACCGCCAATTCGCCATGAAATGGCGGTGACGTCACCACGACGCTTGTGCCAGGCTAGGTGCACCTTAAGGCCACGTGAAGTGTCGAACGCCCACTGGCAGGTCACGGGACAGACCCAGGTGCCACGGGTCGACTGACTGAGATGACTGGCCGATGCACCACCTGTGCCCCCTAATGTGCCAAGTCGCTGCGTTTTAGCCACCCGGCGCTCCGCTCGTTGTTGTGAGCGTTGCCCCTCTGCCCTCCGTTGTTGCTGGAGGGCGACTGCCTCCAACTGCCCAGTAGCGTCCTTCACGAGCCTCCCCCACAGAGGCCGATCTTGACACCGCTGGTACCGGTCATCGGCAAGTCCACTCAGCTCCACGTCCTCCTGTACCAAGTCACTCCATCTCTTCTCTAGCCCGTGCCGCGCCCGTTAAGCCCACTCTAGCCCGCTGAACAAAAGCTGTTTCGGCATGCGGTGGCTGGGCATGCGGGCTGCATGACCCATCCACCACCGCCACCACCGCCACTGTCTACCGAGCGGTGTTAATGGGTTCCCCCCGCTGTGGTGAAGCCGATCAGCAGCAGGTGAAAATGGAAAAGTCCCAGGACCGGTTC